AACCGCCCGTTGATCCTGAACGTCCCGACGCTGCAGCAAAAGCAGCGGCCAAGCCAGCCCCCAAGCGTGCGAGAAGATCGAAGGCCGCACCAAAAGCAAAAGCAAAGTCTTTGACAGACCCTCCACAGCCTGAAGCCCCCAAGACACCACCGGCCATGCCTCCCCTTGTTAGGTCGCCAGCACGAGCAGAGCCAGCCGTATCACCAAAGGCAGCAGGGAGGGTTCGTATGTCCCCCAAGATCAGCAAAAGCTCTCGAAAGAACCGGGTCTTCCAGGAGCTACAATCAAGCGCTAAACTAATAATGTGCATATGCGTGTCCTAGCCAACAAAGCATGCAAATTAAGTATACGCCAATATGTTCAAATATGATCAGGAGAATCTGGCCAAGTTGGAGGCCGAGAAGCAGAACATGTTGTACTTCCACATCCCGGATGGTCTTGATGCCAAAAGGCACGGTTGTCACCATGTCATCCTCAGATTTTGTGCAAAAAACAATTAGGAGCTGGACATGCAGAATTCCAGAAGATGCCCCTGGGAACAATATTGGCGCCGAGCCGGCTGCCATTGGTGTCTTGTCGTGGCCCCAATTTTGTGTAATACCCATCTCTGAGCACATCAATTTTTTAGGTGGGTGGAAAGTGTTTCGAGGCCTGACCGGTATGGAACCTTCTACATCTACAAGATCAAGAACGAGCAGCTCAAGAAGGAGATCGTAGAAAAACTGGGCCTGCAGGCCTTCAGATGAAGCGTCAACCATATTTGAACACTCGAAACAAATTGTTGCACGCAGGTGAACAAAGCTGATGGAGTTTCGATCTCATGGATGAAGCACCAAGGACCAGAACGTGCGTGTGATACTTGGTGCATTCACAACATCGAAGCTGGAAATTGACCCAATGTTGCATACGACCAAATGTTCAAAAGACAGCTTACCGTCCACTTCGTTTGTGTTTGTTGCCTTTGATCTTGACCTCTCGTTGATCACCGGGCTTCAAGGTGGTCGCTCGCACTCCAAGCAGCCGGATGGGTTCCATTGGTGTGCGGGTGACTGAGAAGTGCGGGCCTGCAGGAGGAAGCAAGCTAGGTGATCGAATAGATAATATGCATCGATATGCATGCGTGCATGTGTGCAGTATTCTATGTCGAGAACTGTTCAGTGCATTTTGGTCTGCATATTATCGCAATTATAGAATCTGATATTTTTATGTCATATTATGGTATAATATACTGTGCTTCAAGCTTCCTCTCGCTGGGCATTGCAATTTGCCCAGCATTGATTGTTTTCAAACTCGGCACGAATTTTTTGCCTTGTCGATCGATGGTGAGAAAGCAAAGTCTCCAGCGCACTGCACAGCGCAGCCAGAACAGCGGAGATCAGGATCTTGGAGGTCCTTGGCTTGGTGTGAGTCTACATGCATGCATAAATTGTTGGTGTACCAGGCAACAGCTCTTGGACCTTGGACATAGGTGAGATCTGGCCCGAGCATCCAGCATACTTTTGGAGCCATGGAAAGTGTGAAGTGCAGCGTTCTAGTCCAGGAACGTTCCTGGGATTCCCCGTTATCATTGTCCACCTCTGCAGTCTGCTTCCTTCTTGCTATGGGGTGTCCCTACGTGGTGAATCTAGACTGCGTGCAAATGCATGAACCATGAAATCGAACAAACGCACATGTATTATACTCATGCGTGCGCTGACTGCTCAGGATCCACCTGGCTGACTGGATCGCCCAAAACACCCATCGACCCGAGTGCCGCTCTAGAGTCAGATACTCAAAGCAAGCAAACACATGTACCTCAGTTCAGCACTGCGCGCCAACTCACACGAGGCGCTGGCTCTGGTGGATCTATTTTGTGGAAAGCATGCAGTCTACGATGCTTTTCGTTGGGGACCAAATCCCATCAGAGTCATCAAACTTATAATTGTGTGATTTCTGTGTTCTCTGAATTCCACCCAGGTGAAGCACGGATGAGTGCGCCGCATGCTCAGAGCTGTGCTGGAAATTCTACCAATTAATTGCTAATTCACCAAACATGAACAAGTCCACCTAGTACGTTTTCATTTTAACACACTTTGTCCTGCAAGAGACAAATCATGTATGCCTGAGGGCTTGCTACGACCGTGAGATGCACCCGAAGAGCAATGACATTTTGTCAGTGCAGGGATCCCTGTCATTGACAAACTTGATCGGTTGCACTGTGCTCGAACCATTGCCAAGGACCGGCTTCATCCGGGCATTGGCCTACACATTGCAACTGCAAATTGGAGGTCTTTTGCACTGTGGCCCTCCGTGTTCGTCATGGGTTTGGGTTAGTAGAGGCAGTACGAAGCGGACAAAGAGAAATATTCTAGGCAGCAAAAAATCTAAAGCCGCTGAGGATGGGAACACGCATTTTGTCTTTGCACAGAAAGTTTTTTTGCAAAGCTTCTTCTCTAGAAGTCCAAAGACTGTACTTTTCCATATTAAAATATTAGTGCAGTACGGGACAGTCTATTATAGTTTGTTCACATCATTTCACATCCCTCAGCCCACGGAACTCCCACAGATCGCCACGTCGCTCCGCCAGCAAGGATTACTGCTCGGGTCTGTCTCCTGGCTATGGTGGCTATCAGCAGGTGCTGCCATGTGTGCATAGAGCAACCAAGATCTTCTTTGATGCCTAAATTTCCGTTCTTCGTAAAGTTGGCGTTGAAGCTTCGCAAGCTCTTTGCAATCGAATGGATGCACCAGAACTTGTCATCAACTTAGTCTAAACTTCCAACACCTGGTTGTGCACATGTGATTTTATTGTAAATCAAATCATGCATGCAGAAATCTACTGATCCAAGTTGGATGGGTACCTATGGGAGTGCAACCAGCAAACCATCGACACTTTTTGGCACCGCGTCCTCCTCTCAGAATCGTCATGCATCCAGCGAAGCTCATTTTCATTGCGACCGCTCAGGCCTTGGATTCCGAAGGTGTACCGCAAGATGACTTCGGAGAAGCTCCGGAAATTGAAACGCAAGCTTAAATTCCGGAAGTTTCAAATGGTGAAGCACTACGTAGACAAACGTGGTGAAATGAAAGTGTCCATGACTTAGCATGATCATCAGGGTTCATGTGATACAACCGTTCGACAACGCGTGACTTGAGGCAAGGTGGTCGTGACATGACAAAATCATCGCAGTACCCAAAGCGATATGGACAAAAAGTACAGTCAGAACATGCAATGCATATGGTGGGGTACTCAGCATGTGGACCATGCAACTGCATGGGTTTGATCAATTTGTGAAAGCGGAACGCATCAATCTGATACCTCAAAACTACTGTAAACCCAGTCGTGCATGTAAAAATGGCCGATCGATTATGTGCACCCCGTTGTGTCCCTTCCTCACCACGACTGAGGCCGCCTGTGATAACTCTCTGCAAACGAAGATCCACAGCTTTGCAAAGGTGCCAATCGTGCAGGCAAAGGGCAACCAATTGAACATGTCCTTAGCTTCAAGACCAATTGCAAGCAACACACATGTCGGAAATGAGGAGTGCTGAAGTAAATGATATTTCTTTTCGGACCACCTAAAGACCATTTCTTTATAGTCTTTGACAACCCCTATCTATTAAACATAGAACATCAAATTTACCAAGAAATTATCCTTCAGATCTACACTCCAAAACCATACACACATGTGCATGTAGTATATGTGGGTGATCGGGACAGTGTCGTGTCCGAAGTTACCATGCGTGCAGGTTCAGCCTCGACAAGATGCTGCACTCTTTGATATGGCTCAGTTGGAACCCCTGCGTGAATTTCTCTTAGCAGAAGTGCGGGAGGGGCGTTTCCGACCAAAATCATCGGTCGGGTTGTGATCCACTGCCTATGACCCAAATACCAGCTAGTGATGAACAGCAATAAATGTTATTGTATGATTTGGATCTATCATTAGCCTAGCGTTGCTGTGGGCCATACAATTTGCCAGTGGTGCGTGCAATGAATAGCACTTGCAGTGATAACTGCTCGGCTAGTTGATGTGCATGCACTTTGCGAGTAATTAGCTTCGCCACGCTCAAGTTTCGAGCCGCATCTAATTGGACCAGCCAATCCACATAGGACCTATGTCCAAAGAACTATGTGAAGAGATGAAAAATACCCAGCGTGGTCCCAGCGTGGAAAGACTAAACAATCGAGTGGAAAGACTAAACAATAGAGTGGAAAGACTAAACAATTCCGTGACCTCAGGACCTCTAAAATGCAATAAAAACCATTTTGTGTGCTTTCGAGTTAATTGAATGTGATTCTTTCCATATTTATTCGTAACTTTTGAACTTCCGTCACTCCATATTTGTGTAATATCGTCACTCCGTGACTGATGTTCCGTAACTCCGTCACTTAGGATCCGTCACTCGTTGTGTGAGCGGCTCTTCATTTGTCCGTTGGTGTCCGCAAGTATTTTTCACATATGATCTGCAGGGCCAGTTCTGATCAAGTGAGCACGCACCAGGGGCGTGTTCGTAGAACTTTAGTGCAGTGTTGGTGGAAATGCCACCTAAGCAGAAACATAGTGACCACCTTGAAGAGTTGCTTAAACAAGCAGCTCTCCGACGACACCAATGCTTCAGCCAGGCAACCCCGGAAGGCGAGGATGACTACATGAACCTAGTCTGGCCATGTGAGGAACCGTAGATAGACCTGTGATCTTCTAGTTTAGTAATTTTCCAAATTGGAATCCGGAATCCATGTATGGTCATGATCTTTGTTCACCACACCCTGAAAGGTAAATCGCATATTATATTATGCAGTCTAGCATCCTTACTAGATCAACAATTGCTTTTCTGGCAGGTATAAAGGAAGCTGAGAATCATTCTATGGACTCACAGGGCACCACAATCCCGGCGACCGATGAGGAGGCCAAGGCGCATGTCATGCGAAGCCTCCAAGAGCTTCGCGAGCTGGAGAAGGCGCAGCTTGAAGCGAGGCCGCCAGCGCTGCACTCGTCTTTGAGCGAACGTACCTTGGTGCTTGGCGAGACTGAGGAGACCATCGAGCCGACCCAAAGGACCGATCCACCGAGTGAAGGGCTTCTTCAAACCTATCGGGACTACCTCAACGACTTTCCACAGCTAGTGGCAACATTTGGCAAAGAGCGTGCAAATGCCATTCAAATGGAAAGGGAGGCAGCTGTGGCCCAACACCTTGGGCCAGCTAGTGCGGCTGTGCTAGCAACTTTGGCGAGTGAACAAATGAAAACGAAAGGCCAGGCTTCAGCGAAAGCAAAAGCAAAAGCAAAAGCTAAGGCTAAAGGAAAGCCTGAACCAAAAGCAAAACCAAAGACAAGGAAGGATGCAGCGAAGAGGAATGAAGATGATGCTGAAGGGAAAGCCAGCAAGAAGCGTAAGAAGAATGCCGATGACAAGGAGAACACACCACCTGATGACAAGGATATCAAATCACCTGATGGTGATCAGAAGAAACCTGAAAAGAAGGCAGATGTGCCCTGTGTCATCCTATCGCCTGAGGTCAAGAGCGGAAAGGATGCAGCCTCCCCACCTTCATCTTTGTCCAGCCCAACTGATGCCAGTTCGTTGCACCGCCTTTGCACACATGAGAGTTTGGGTGGCCTACTCAACAGAAAAGACACCATGGTGGAGGATTCAGAATGCCTTGACATCGATAAGCTCCACGAGATTGCGAAAACCGAGGATGAAGCCCGAGGTGAGGATGCAGAGGAGCCAAAGAAGCGAATCCGAAACAAAGCAATGCACAATCGAAGGATGCGCTTCTATAGAAGCCTCTGCAGTCACTGGGCTTGGTCATTCAGTGCTATGTGCCGGTGAGCGATTCCCAAAAGAAACCGTTGGACATATTTCTAATGTTCACCCAATATATGCATGCATGCATGCGTGCTGCTATTATTATGGCCTCATGCATGACTCAGGCCCAAATTCACCTGAAGAAGTTCGATTCCTGGCAGAGAAAGCTCGAAATGGATCGAGAGCCTAAGCTGAGTTATAGTATTATATCATGCTGCAAGTTTATACTATATTTTCTTGTTGGAAGGTGCATGCGCCATGCCCAAACAACAGAATCCAACATCACAATGTACCGATCGCAAAAGAATCAATCGTCTTGCAGTGTCCCACACGTATGCATGCAAGCAGTGTCCGGGGATCATCGTAAACAACTAGACAGCTATCTCAGGATCTGACAAGACCTGCAAGCTGCACCTGCTCTATGAGCAGTGGTGCAGTGCTTCAGAGAAGTGGGAACGATCTTCTTTGGTTTTGCGCATGAAGAAGAGCGTGTTGACGCGCTCCCGGGGGGCCCGGCGGTGGATGACAAAGAAAGAGATCTGCAGCAAGTACAACGAAGAAGTCGCGGAGGAAATCATAGCTTCAAAGTTCAAAGAAGATATGGAGAACATCTTGTGGAAGAAGCACCCAGAGCTCCCAGAGAGGAAGGAACTATACTTGTATTTGTGCTGGGACGAAAGCACAGAAGAGGATGTGGTGGACGACTTAGTGGAGACTATGTTCGAAGGCTATGATGAAGATCGGAAACGAAAGCAGAAGGAAGAGAAGACAAGCAAGAAGAAGGATAAGAAGAGCAGGAAGCACCAGTCTTCGACAAGTGAGACCAATGACTCAAGTGATGAGAGCTCGGCAAGTTCTTCGGACAAGAACTCTTCAGATGATGATGAGAGTTCGTCTTCAAGCAAAAAGAAGAAGAAGGGCAAGAAGAACAAGAAGTCGAAAAAGAACCAGAAGCACAAGAAAGACAAGAATGCCAAAAAGAACAAGAAATGCAAGAAATCGAAGAAGGCCAAGTCGACCAAGCCGAAGGGCAGTAAGAGGGAGAGTGCAAGTGGAAAAGATGGCAAGGATGATAAGGAGAAGGAAAAGGATAAACAAAAGGAAGAGGAGAAGAGGAAGAGAGAAGAGCAGCGGAATGCAGACCGGAAGTTGGAGAAGGAAAAGCAAGAGAAGCGGAGTAAAGCAAAGAAGGCTTGATTATCCTATATATGCTCTCTACCTACTGTCAGGTGAGCGTTTATGAATCGATCTCGGATAGGTTTGTTGGTTTTGTTCAACTGTGAAATGACGTGGCATCCTATTTCACAGTGTTCTTCAATTTGGCTCGATCTAGTTTATCACTGGTGGGGGGGACCAATTTGTCAGGCTCTCAATGATGTCATGACAGCCCTTGCGGATATCGCCCGGCGAGAGCAAAAGACTAAAGATATGCAACTTGGCCCAAATCTGCAGCCTCCAATCCATGTTTGTTCCCAAACGATTACCGCTCCCAAACCCCTAGACATTCCAATAAAGGTTGGTGACTTACAGGAACCATCAGTCTAGGGTTCTTCAACCTCCGCTGGTTTGCAAGCCAAAGTCACAATTCGCGGAAGGTCCGAGAATCTCAAAGCGGCTGTCATCGAGTCCTTGGACGGGCACAAGTCGGAGCTGAAGCGGATGAGTTCCCGTATCTCTGAAGTCCTTGCTAATGATGAGGCTAGTTTATTTTTTTTGCATTCATGCATGAAGAATTCAAAATTGATCGATACGATAAATAATGTCGACGTGTCCATTAACATGTAAAGTTGGGGGGCTGCCGGACAGTACTACCACTCTCGACCAGGTGTCGAAGATGGATGAGGTGGCTGATGATGCCAATACAAAACTGAAGTCTTGGAAGACTTGCAAAAGTCTCATGTGAGTGCGCTGTAGTTGTCACTCTTTTTGAGTTTTGTATTTGGCACGAAGGTGTGATGCCTTAGGATTCAAACAACCAAAGACTTTTATACTACACCACCACTTCAACTGTTCTTTCAATTGTCTTTGAATGCTAGGGTCGATGTAAATTATCAATAATGACGAATTGTTTGGTGTTAGTCCCATGCACACCAATGTTGCATTATCGATGGCTGGTGCACTACAAATCGTGCCATTACAGCGGGCTAGCAATTTCCTGTGTGGCCACATAAGTTTGTGGCTGCTGGGCACTGAACCTGCTAAGGTGATTTCTCAATGAGGTGTGTGAATGCACACCAGCGTTCATGGTTGGTTGATGTTTCTGAAGTCTGAATGTGGCGGCTTCAGCAGAAAAACTCGATTCCATTTGCGCTCAACTCCGAATATGCAACACTATAGCCATAGTACAGCATCGTCTTGATCGATCTTGCTTTGATCAAACCCCTTGACAAATACCCCAAAAGGGTCCACACCATTTGTGGACCCTTTTCGTGTCCTATCAACCTTGCCTGCCGTGGAGGCCCCTACGACACCGACCGCAAAAAAGGACCTGTCCTCTTTCATCCTGCGGACCATCGATGATGTTGCCGGCGCAGTTCCTTGGACGAGCCGGCTGCCAACTAAAACATACTATATCGACTAGTCCTTGCATGCATGCATGCACTATAGTACTACTGTAAAAAAATCTAAAACCATTGAATGGCTGTGAACTGCACATACTCAGCTTAGCTTAGGTTTCCAGTGTGGGACAGGCAGTGCGGAACTGCAGAAACCACTGTAAAGAATCTGGGCCCAACATATTGTGAATGCGATGTGTATTCTGCATGTGTGCGTGCATGAACTTTGCATTTTACGATCCATCACTCGTGTAGCGGTGCACCAAGGAAGTTGGGTTCAACAGGCTCAATAGCCAAACGCTTGCATTTGTCAAGAAGTCCAAAATCAATGCTGCTCGCAACTTCTTCAGCTTCTGCCATGTGCCAGTCGAGACTTTGGCTTGACTCTCACATGTCATGTAGTGGGCTTCCGTACAGGGTTCAAATTTAGAACTTAATTTTGTAAACTGACGCCTTCCTAGACCTTGTTCAGCACTTTGGTTTCAGGAGACTGCAACAATTCGAGCTCCGGTCAGGGATCGCAAGAGCAGAAAGGGGTTCAAGTGGATGAACATTGAGATGTTGGAGCCGTACAGTGTCATTCAATACTTGTGGTGCACTGTTGGACTAGAGATAGACGATGCCCAACTTCACAATTTCTGGGCGGAACACCGCGCTCGGGGCACTCCGTGGGCTGTTGCTACCGAGACAGACTTCATTCCGTTGGCGTTGTACGGGGATGGTTGTCGTATCCGTCAGGTTTCTCTTCAACCAGTGCAGAAAGCAATTGGCATTTTTCTTAGCTGCCCGCTTTACCGGCCCAAGGGTGCAAGGGCATGCAGGTGGTTGTTATGCACGCTCGATGAGAACTTACTTTACAAGGAGGTCACCTTGAACAAAATATTCGCCAGGATAGTCTGGAGCTTGAACCTTTTGTGGGAAGATCGCTTTCCTGCCTGCGATCCTTTTGGTCAGCCTGTGCCTGAAAGGTTCCGTGCCCGGATTGGTACGCCAATTACCGGGAAGCGTTTCCAGGTGGTCGAGTTCCGCGGAGATTGGGTTTGGCAGAAGCAAGTTTTTCGATTCAATTCAACGTGGCTTGCTGGTGCTCGAAAGCCGGTTTGCTTTGCTTGTCCGGCATACAGGACTGGACAATGCAGATACACCGACGTCACGGAGTCAAGTCCACTGTGGGATAGGCAGTACACCTATCTAGAGTTCCTGAATCGCGAGATGCCTGCAAGCGGGCTGAGCTGCTTAGCAGAAGGAACATTTAAAACAACTTACCAGTTTCCTGGACTGTGAGAGTCGAAATGTTTTGAAGTCGAGATGAGGCCCGGTGCTCCTGTTGCGGGGATTCCACCACTCTTGTCTGGCTTTGTGCTCCATGCACATCATCAACCTTGGCTTGATGTATGGTGTGAACGGAAGCTGTTTGATTCTTGCAGTGTACTGTCGATCGATCAATCAGTACTTGTGACCGCATCGTCCGATCACACGGTGATGTTTCATTCGTTCGACAAAAACCTTCCGGAAACATCTGATCTTAGGATGACAATCTTGGAGAGCACTGAAATGTTTGGACGCTATGGTGAAATTTCTCTTCAGGAGAACGGTCCAACGATCCGATAGATACGGTGTTTTTTGTCGAGTTTTTTCGTGACATGTCCATGCCCATGCAGCAGAGTGTTGACTGCTTGGTACTACGCGAACGCGCAGGAGCAAATGGATTTGGCGTACCAGGACTTCAAGCAATTCTTGAGGGCTTCATCCATTCCGTGCAGTCAACCTGCATTCACGGTCAAATTGGCCCTCCGGATTGAAAATTCAGTAGTCAGACATGGTTTTGTGCACAGTGTTGCAGGATGTTGCAGGTCTTGGTGCCTACCACTGTTTAACTTCTGTGCATGTAAGGTGGTCAAGAAGAACGGTGAAGTCCTCATGACAGGAAAGGCATACAACAATCGATGCATCCAGCTTTGGCTGGAGAAAGTGATGCGCTCTGCTGCTGGAGACTACCTGCATGCGGATGAGCGTATTGGCAATATGTCAGTTTGCATGCTTTTCGACCGCAATGCACAATTCTTGTCTGTGGTATCATTGTTGCATTTTGTTCCGCTACATGGGTCTTCCAAGGACGGCTCTGGCAAGATTTATGCACTTGATTGAGGCTTCCCCTCGGTTTTTGTTTCTTGGATGTGCGCAAGTGTTTCTTTATCACTGCTCGCAGTTTGCAGAATCTTGCATAGCAAACGTTGAACTATGTTGTCCAGCATGAGGTCTGTGGAGCAGGCGGCGGCCATCCATCGAGAAGGAATGCTATTTGCACGGCTCCATGTTCTGCTGAATCACCAAAGTGCCAGGCAACAGTGGGATGTGTGTCAATTCTAATTTTTGAGGATTGAATTTGCACAATTCGAATCGAATTATGATCCTGAAAACGCCGGTTGCAGTCTTGGAAAGCCCCATTTCATCATCCGCCCTAAGCTCCATGTGCCATGCCAGCAAGGTTGAAATGAATGCTTGCATGCACGCTAGTATCTAAAAAGGCTAGTAGGCGCTAGCAGGTGTGTGGGTATTCATCATGCACATGCATAATCGCATGCTTGCATCGCTGCCCAGGCATTTGGACACCTACTCCTTCAGATTCGCAAAAACCGAGTCTTGTATGCAATAAGTGCATGTATGCGTGCAACAAAAGGTGCAAATGTAATCCATTGTTGAGCTTTCCCGAATCTCTTCCCTCCAAATAGATGCCGGCCAGGATGCACCTCATTCATCTCATTCAACCCCAACAAATGCCGGCCAGGATGCAATTTTCGCTACTGGCACACGTTCGTGGATGAAGACAACATGGGATGGATGCGCAGCAGCCCGGCTAGAGAATATGCAATGCATGTGCGTGTGATGCACCAACGACGGATGAACATGTTGAAGGTATTAATGAGTTTGTTCTACACCAGGAACCATACTTAGAGCGCACGCTCTGCACCAGAGATCGTGGGCTTTGCGGATGTCGAAGCTTCGTTTGTGGACCCTCAAATACAAAGTGAAGAAGTTCCTTGGGTTCAACCTAGATCAGTGATGATCAGTGCATGTTGGTGCAAAGTGTAGGAGAATTGCAGTGAATGTAGTAAGGCTTGGAAAAACTTCAACGGAGAGGATGTGATCGGATGTGATGGTCGTTGATACCGTCCAAGATCGTGCAACAACTCGAGCAGAGAAACAAGCGTGACCGAGCGTGGTCGGCCGTGGTCAGCGAAAGACTAAGAAAACATTAGTCTTTAACATAAAGACATCAAAAAGTATCGTCTTTTGACTCCCTGGGTATTAATTTGTGTGGCTTGGCATATATGCTTGCCAGAGAGTTTCTTCAACACATTGCCCACCAGGGTGCCAAACCAGCAGTCCTAATGATAGGACTACAGTCCTGCAGTCCCTCATTCAGGACTTATTATGGGCCATTCGTCCAGGATACGGACACGCTATGACATGCTTAAAGGCATGAACCGTATCATGTCACACACGTTGATCATTGTAGAAGACAGACGCTCAGCCACCTGGCAACCAAAAGTGTGATTTTCCAGGTTCATAAAGACATGTCCAAGCCGCACACTTCCAACTGCGATTACTGCCCATCAGTGAGTTCCAGGGTTTGTTCGTTAAAGACTTGGTGTGCCGTTTTCAAGACCTAGTTGTTCCAAGTTCCGCACACAGGGCGGCTCTTTGCAGTTCTCCTTGGGGCTCCCTCTTTGAGATTTTTTGATTCAACTTCATGTTGACATTTCTTATCCTGTACCTATGAGAGGCCAGTGCGTATGTGGCACTGACCTCGTCACCCGACCCACGATCGCACGAAACGACGCCAGGGCAGTGAGTGTCTTGGTCATCGCTTGCCCGTGCTCCTTCGGACTTGCGACGTGCCCTGGCAGAACCAGGACGGTGCTGGACGGAGTCCATGATGGGCGAGGTTGGTATCACGAATTGTCATTTGAGTCATCTATGAATGTTGACTGATTAGATCTGATGAGGAAAAGCTCCCCAAATGGAGGTGTCAATGACCATTTCAAGCAAGTAGGGGTGTTTCTCAATGAACAGTCAAGATTTTTGCTCCTTGCGACGGTGAATCTGGGGAGTACACAGGACACAACGTACCTCGCGGTGCGATGAGCTGATAATATGTTCATGATTAAATCACCATGTGAGGTGAGGTTGTGTCGCGGGATTGTTTTTGCTATTCTGAATTCTCCAATGGCGCCGCTATCACAGGCCAACCGCGGTGATGGTTGCCACTGGCCTTGCTGCCAAGCACGGGTGTTTGGTAAAGGACTTGGGATGGGCCAAATTGTTTGCCAACTGTTCTTGCCAAATGCGATGGGGTGAACGTGGTAGGTTTTCGAATTGAACGCCAGAGCCACGTGGCTCGCATTGTACTCACTACAGGTTCCTTTTCGCCAGCCTTGACAGGTTCTTCAGAAGAACGCCGTTAGGAAACAGGCCTCAGGTCGCTCAACTTCCCATTTACTTCGCACAATCTACTCTGCTGGCACATCGTAGTAAGATGATCCCATGGGATGTTGTTCCGCTGTTGTTTTCTCAATTGCATGTCTCAGCTTATTACTAATTACTGTATGTAAAAATCATCATGCAATAATTGATCATTATGTTAACTTGCGAGTGGCACACTTGTTCCTAGACGATCGATAAGCACCTTTGATCTCCTTTGCTGCTCTCAGCACCAAACGAACGGCTACCTGGAAGTGTTGCGCTTGTTGCTCGATGCTGGAGCCTCTTGTGGGGCCACAGCAACTCCCAGACGCTCGAACCTGCAATGGCCTCGTCAGTTACCCTTCTGTAGTGGCTTTGTTGTGCAAACTTGAGGTTGGCTGAAAAGATTGATAGACCACGGGCGGGCCTTGGATCTGCCAGTGCCACACTCGGCACTCACTCGCTCAGCACTCTTTGGCTCAACCTTCGCAATGAAGAACCGTCCTCGCAGTGTGACGATACACAGACCGGCAGCAGAGCCTGCAAAACCGAGCCTCCACGCAGGTCGTTGGAACAACAAACCGCGTATTCAAAGGGTGAAGGTTTTGGTCCACTGGGCTTGCGACAGATTGACACCCTGGTTGAAAAGAGACACCGGAGACCTCACAAGGCACATACCAAGGCACTTTGTGAACAAATCTGAGCAAAGGACTCTTTGACTATAGGCATCTCGAAGTTTCACTGCTGACTACGGACTACTGTTTTTTTTTTGCAATGTTTGTTTGTTTGTTTGTTTGGTATATCAGTATATTAAAAAATATATATATCTATCTCTTTATCTTTCTGTTCCTTTGTTCTTGTTAGCTTCCTTTGACATCTCATGAAGTATTTATTTTATACTATGCTTTATAAGAAGGCTGCATGAGGGTCAATGATTTGGGAAGTTCTGAAGAGACCACCCTTTAGGTAAACACTTGTACAAGCCAATCATCACATGGATGAACTCCACGTGAGCAGTGCAAGGATGCTTTGGATCAGTGTTGAATCAGTGAACAATCTCTAATGCCAACTTTATGTTGCAATCATGCTGTCTCTTCCATACAACATCATTTGAATCATACAACTTCATCCCACCATGTTGTGCCTTTTTTCATTTGAACAAAATACACGTACTCAGCACCATGATCCATCCTGATCCTGTTCTTCACGGCGCCAAAGACTTTTCAGGACTCGGTCGTTTGGGAGAAAGTGGCCGCCTTGAAGTGCTGCGTGCTGGACAAGACCGGCACCATCACCAAAGGTCAACCCGAGGCCCGTGAAGGGAGGCCCGGAAACGCCTTCCGAACTCGGGCGTTTTTGTTACTTTTCCTTTTTTTTTGGTGTCACGGTCCAGGAATGGTCCAATTGAAACTGAGTAGTTGTCTTCCCATGTTTGGTCGGGGTTCGATCACGACAGAACTGTTCTTTTCTGGGCAGGCGCGGTGTTCGACTTTAGGCTCATTCGATGTGACACTGCCGACAAGTGATGCGCAAGCTACGGCTACCTCAAGCTGTCTACCTGATTGAATCTGTGGTTTGTGATCAATCAGGACTGGAGCAAGGAGCTTCAGAAAGAACTTCACTGTGCTCACCTTCCTGCCAGGTCGTGGAAGTCTTGCTGCTGCCAGGCGAGGCTGAAATGGTGCAACCTTTCCTTGTGTTTGCCGCGCCTGTCTTGCTGAAAAGAGGGTTGGGGGCGTTGTGTACGGAAATTGGCCGTGTCACAGTCTCGTATCCAAATGTAAATGATGTCCTCATGATCACTTGGTTCATTTTATTCTGCTAAGGGGTTGACACAGGCAAGCTGAGGATGAGATGATTTGCAGGCATTTTCCACCCGAGCTCAAAGCCAGGAACAACGACTGAGTTGCCTATGCTGCTGGCATCTCCAAGCTTCTTTGGGCGTTTCGCTTGGCTTCTGAGCCTTGTGAGCTTGGCTTGGCCGGCACTGGGTGACGCCGCAACAGAGGGCCAGTGCGACGCCGCCACTGGGAAGTGTGGTTCCATGGCTGAGAGTTATGATGCCTTAGTGAAGGACTTGGAGGAGTTGGTGAGGACTAAGCACTGTGGCCCGATTTTGATCCGCTTGTCGTGGCATGATGCTGGCGTTTTCTCCAATGGGAAGCTGAAGGGTGGTTACTCCAATGCCGCCATGCGATTCACCGATGCAGGTGAAGGCACCTTCGGAGCCAATGCTGGCTTGCCTGATGTGGCCCTAGGACTTTTGAAGCCCATCACCGAGAAGTACGTCCCTAGTGTCATTGGGCATGCAGATCTTTGGACCCTGGCAGCCAATGTGGCCATCAAGGAGATGGGCGGTCCCGTGATCAAGACTCGCTTCGGTCGCACCGATGCGAAGAGCTCCGCCGAATCGGTGGAATCTCAGGTCGGACGCTTGCCCGACGGGGACAAGGAACTGGATCATTTAAGGGAAATCTTCCATCCCAAGGGCTTTGATGACAGGGACATCGTGGCCTTGTCGGGCGCGCACACCGTGGGCAAGTGTCACATCGGTCGTTCTGGGTTTGATGGGGCCTGGACAGAGGAACCCTTGAAGTTCGACAACAGTTACTTCAAGGAGATGTTGCAGAAGGAGTACAAGGAAGAGAAAACCGAGAAGGGCAATCCTCAATTCAAGAGTGGCAGTGGCACCATCATGTTGACCTCCGATTTGGCACTGCTTAAGGACCCTGCCTTCAGGCAACATGTGGAGGCCTATGCCAAGGACCAAGAGGTCTTTTTCAAGGATTTTGCCACTGCTTGGATCAAGCTGCAGGAGAACGGAGTCGCAGGCCTCCGTGATCAGCTTTGAAACCTTTGACGGAATTTGCTCCTTTGAATCTGCTTTCAGCTGGTAGATGCCTCAATTTGCCAGCAGCTCTAGAGGATTTGCTTCAGGACAGAGACATAGACTCGCAGTGTCACCGGTAAGTGCCGCGTGAAAGAAGAACGAGCTCGCAGCTTTATTCATGATTTCTCAAGGATGGTCTTGTAAAAATTCCAGGATCCCTAATAGGTTTGGACCTACCCATGAACCCATCTTTGACCCATGACACTTCCCTTCATCCCAAACCCTAAACCCCTCCGGGATCTCCACGCCCTCGCCCAGCTTCGCTTCCTTCGCTTGGTGGGGAAGGCCTCCAAGCCGTCTCCCTCGAGGGCGTGACGCCCTCGCGCTCGTCTTCCGCGCGGCTGGGGCGCTTTTCGGAGACCGGGGAGGCGGCCGAGTCATGAAACGCCGAGCCCGATGGGAGCAGGATTGCAGCACAACTACACACACACACATATATATATATATATAGTAATAGTGATTATAAGTGTATATATATATTCCATAATACTATAGTCACGATAAGACAAGAGTTTGGATCTATATAAGCTAGAATTGTTTGAAGACATGTGTGGCACGGGCATTCACCATGGCCTGTTTCGACCTTAGGTGCTTGTGCTTGCGAGCGACATGTTCGAAATTGAGTCGTGCTTCTTGAGTAGTGCTGCTTGGTCCTCCAACCATGAACCACACCTGCCAGGGGTGCGGGGGTGACTCGTTCGCAGCAGGAAAGTGCCGAGGGCTCCGCTGTGGTTGGATGGCTCCTCGGGGGAACAGGGCCCAGGGCTGACTGGATTTGGTTCATAGCGTCA